GGAAATGACTTTAGGCATTTCTACAGTTTGATTTTATTTCATAAACTATTACTTTGAAATATAAAATGAATTATTACTGGCCCTTTTGAGAGTTCCACTTTTAAGCATCTCCTACTGGTTTAGATAAATTTAATTTCTAAGCTATGCTATATGAAAGGCAGAATGAGATTTAAAATTTGTTTCAGTTCAAAATAGTGAGATGGGCTTGTTTCCCTACCTCAAACCATAATCAAAGTCAAAGATTTAAGTAGACACTGCAATCTATTTGAAGAATAGTTACACTTTTCAAAATTTTGGTGAACACTGTCATAAGGTACTTTCATTTTTTATTAAACCTTCCTCTATATCATTATCAATAGTCCAGATGCCTTTTTCAGTATCAGAAGTACATTCAAAACTTAGCATTGGTGTCTTTTTTCTGTCTTTAGTGTTTCACAGCTGACAAAGCCCCAGCTGCCTCATCTGCCCTCTTGAAGGCTAGCTGAGACTAATTCCTACACTTTTGAAAATTCTTTCATTGCACCCTGCTCTTCATGCCAAATTTGTGATCCTGTCTTTAAAAAGTTTTTTTTTATATTTTACTTACAATTAGGTGGTACCTTCTGATGCATCAAATTCTCTCCTAGGAAGAGAAAATATACATATGTTCACAAAAAGACATATTCTAGAAGGCTCATAGCAATCTTGTTAACAATAGCTTCACATTGAAAAATATCCATTCATGTCTTCTGCCTCAAAAAATTAAAGATAGAACTACCCTATGACCCAGCAATAGCCCTGCTAGGAATTTACCCAAGGGATACAGGAGTGCTGATACACAGGGGCACATATATGCCAATGTTTATAGCAGCACTTTCAACAGTAGCCAAATTATGGAAAGAGCCTAAATGTCCATCAACTGACAAATAGATAAATAAGATGTAGTTTATATATACAACGGAATACTACTTGGCAATGAGAAAGAATGAAATCTGGCCATTTGCAGCAATGTGGATGGAACTGGAGGGTATTATGCTAAGTGAAATAAGTCAGGTAGAGAAAGATACCATATGTTTTCATTCATATGTGGATCTTGAGAAACTTAACAGAAGACCATGGGGAGGGGAAGGGGGGGGGAGAAAAGTTAGAAGGAGAGAGGCAAACCATAAGAGACTCTTAAGGACTGAGAACAAAGTGAGGGTTGTTGGGGGTGGGGAAGAAGGGAAAGTGGGTGATGGGCATGGAGGAGGGCACTTGTTGGGATGAGCACTGGGTGTTGTATGGAAACCAATTTGATAATAAATTATATTTTAAAAAAATATCCACTCACCATCATTAGAATGTACGAATAAGCCATAATATTATAAACACAATACAATATTATATATCAATTAAAATGAATAGCCTTATGGGGCGCCTGGGTGGCTCAGTCGGTTGAGCTTCCGACTTCAGCTCAGGTCATGATCTCAGTCTGTGAGTTCAAGCCCTGCGTCAGGCTCTGTGCTGACAGCTCAGAGCCTGGAGACTGCTTCAGATTCTGTGTCTCCCTCTCTCTCTGCCCCTCCCCCAGTCATGCTCTGTCTCTGTCTCAAAAATAAATAAACATTAAAAAATAAATAAATAGCCTTCAACAACATGCAAAAATATGGATCAATCTCATGCCACATTATAGAATGAAAGAAAGCTTGCACACATGGTTATTCACTGTATGACTCCATTTACGTAACATTTTTTAAAAGTACAATTCTGCATTGTGAGAAATTAGGGTAGCTGCCATGTGAGAAGGGATAGTGATTGGAAGGGAGCACCAAAGAGGTTTCTGGATACATGTGTGTGTTCAATGAACTTCGTACTTATGAAATTGTACAAAAGATGCACATTTGTGTATGGAGACTAAGTTTAAAACAGCTAATGTGTAACTTTGGCAAAAATACAGGGACTGTATGTAGAAAGATATGTACAAATCTGCCTCTCCTCCAGACTCAACGGGTTCTGACTTGTCTTACAACAGCATTCCCTAATTTCAGTCCCACACACTCACACATTTATAAATGAGTACAAGGATGACTGGTGAAACTTAGATAAGCTCAATGGATTGTATCAGTCTCAGTATCTTGGTTGAAATTATACTATAGTTACTGTTGTAAGTAACTAGGAAAAGTAGACAAGGGACCTCTTGATATTATTTCTCATATTTCTTGCAATTGTATGTGAATCCACAATTACCTTGATAAAAGGATTTCAATAAAAAAACAATGGTGAGTAAACGCAAGAAAATACATTAAATTTCTAAAAGTGAGACCCTATCCCAACTGAACTGTATCATAATGTTGGGGATTGCTAGAAACCTGCAATTTTAGCATGTGTTCCACATAATTTGTGATAAAGCTAGGAAATACTGTGTAGTAACTGGCTAGCTTTTTAACACTGTCTCAACTGTAACTTTGGTTACAAGCTTCTAGATGAAATTTATCATACTGGTTTTTAGGTGGTCTTGTTTCGCTATAATGAAAGGTTCTCTTTTAACTCTACCTACAATAAAAAGAATGAAATACTTAGGAATAAATTTAACAAATGAAGTGTTAAGATGTGTACACTAAAAATTAGAAACCATCAGTGAAAGAAATGAAAGACCTAAATAAATGGAAAGAAATTCCATGTATCTGGATTATTAAGATGGCAATACTCCCAAATTGATCAAGCTATTCAGCATAATTCCCATCAAAAACTTAGCTGCCATTTTGGGTAAGACTTGACAAGCTGATTCTAAGATGCATATGGAAATGCAAAGCACCCAAAAGCTGAAACTATTTTAAAAAATAAGAGCAAACTAGGAGGACTCACGCATTCTGACTTCAAAACTTCAAAACAAAGTTACAGTAATCAAGACAGTGTGGTATTGGCATAGAGATCAATAGAATGGCATTTAGAATTGAGATATAAACCCTTATATTTATGGTCAATTGATTTTCAACAAGGGTACCAAAATAATTCAATGTAGAAAAAATAGCCTTTTCAACAAATGGGCCTGGAATAACATGATAACCACATATAAAAGAATGAAGTTGGACCCCCCCACACACACACAGCTTTTCATAACATATACAAAAATTAAGTGAACCATATTCCTAAATATGAGAGCTAAAACTATAAAACTCTTAGAAGAAAACCTAGGTGTAAATCTTTATTACCTCAGATTAGGTAATAGTTTTCTAGATGTGACCTCAGAGCCCAACAACCAAAGAAAAAAATAGGTAAATTAGACTCATTGACATTTAAAATTTCATTCTTCAAAGGACCCTAAAATTAAAAAGACAAGTTTTGACAAATGTAGAATTTGGAACACGCATACCTTGCTAGTGGTATTATAAAATGGTACACTTTTGGAAAACAGTTTGACAATTGCCTCAAAAAGTTAAATATAGAGTTACCATATGAGCCAGCCTTCCACTTGTAGATATACACCCATGAGAATTAAAAACATGTTCAAACAGAAATTTATACACAAATGTTCATAGCATTATCCATAATATACAAAATAGGAAAATAACTAAAATATCAATCAACTGATGAATGGATAAGCAAAATATATCTATACAATGGATCATTATTCAGTCACAAAAAGGAATGGCGTACTAACATATGCTATAACCTAGAGGAACCCTGAAAACACTATACTAAGTGAAATAAGCCAATCCGAAAGACCACATAATGTTTGATTTCATTTTATGAGATGTCCAGAATTGGTGCATTCTTAGGGATAGAAAATAGATGAGTGGTAGCCAGGGTGTCGAGGGAAAGGAAAATAGGAGATGGCTGCTAACGGGTATAGGGTTTCTCTTCGTGGTGATGAAAATGTTCTAAAATTAGATAGTCGTGACAGTTGTATGACCCACTGAATATATTAAAATCCAAAACGTGAGCTGACTTTTATGGTATGTGAATTTTCTCCATAAAAAATGTATAAACCTACCTAGAGTTCCCTTGTACAAGTTGTTTATATTATTGTCATTTTCAAAATCAAATCCTTGAAGTTGATGTAAAATGTTACAAGAACAATCCCTCTGCACATCAGAGTATTACACAGAACAGCCATGCATTTGACTCTCGACCAAGGGAAATTTTGCTTTCTCCACATTTTGGCCTGGAGAATACTAGTGATAAATTGATACTGTGAAATGCCAAGCTGGTAATAAGAGACTGTTCCAGGAAAATGCACCCATTTCTCAAATCACATCTGTAGATGATTAAGTTAATTGGCTGTGTGATTTGATGGAGCGAGTAATGGACTAGACCCCATCTCTTACTGTGTGCCCCCACACTTGTCAATTACCTTTCTGCATTTGTTAGAATATCTATCCAGTAGAAAATCAATACCTACCTGCCCGATACATTTATAAGATTTTTGAGACAATCAAATGAAAACAAGATGTAAAGTTGTTTTGAAATTGACAGCACTATAAAAATATGAGACATTATTTATTTAACATTCTTCACTCTCCTTCTCCGGATTTGATTTTCAAAGAAGGGAAAGCATAAAGTGCTAAGTTAAACGCTCCCTTTCAGATATTGATTGAGAGGCTCTGGCTTTCTTCTTGAGGAAGAACATTGTATGGACTCAAAAACTTGAACTTGCGTGACATTAACAGAGAGCATTTTATAGAAAACCGTTATAATTTTTTTAATGTATCATTCTGACAGCATGAGAATGATATAGCAGCAGACAGGTTATTGTCAATTAAACACGAGCTGTCAGAAAGTCAGAAATGTTGAGGTATGGTGAGCATGAATCCTAAGCAGATCATATGGCAGCTGCTCAGCTGTTATTTTAACAGAGTCTCTGTACGTGTGTGTCATTTTCCTGCAGAATTTAATTTGAGTCCCTAACGACGGAGACATCTTTGCATTTGCATGTTGCTGTCAAGTCGAACTTGGACCTTCTAAGTGAGCTAGCATGGTGGGTGGTAGTGTGCAAGTGACATGTGGAGGAGATGGCTCTCATCTCATTTTCTTCCATTTAGGTTACATCGAAGAGGCTTGCATCATCCCTTGTCCCTCTGACTGCAAGCTTAGTGAGTGGTCCAACTGGTCACGGTGCAGCAAGTCCTGTGGGAGTGGTGTGAAGGTTCGGTCTAAATGGTTGCGTGAAAAACCATATAATGGAGGGAGGCCTTGCCCTAAATTGGACCATGTCAACCAGGTATTTTCTCCCATTGATTCTTATATTGAGAACACTGCATATTGTTTACAATCACTGTGATCTATTTTTTTCTTCAAATGGAGAAGAGTAAATAATAGCCCCTTTCAAATAAGAAATTTGACCCATTTTACCTTTAGAATGCCTGAGTTAATGTATGTATGCTATTAAAATACCAAATCAGATATATCATCTTTGCATCACATTTAGTACCCAGCATGTATATGCATATGAATATAATTAAATGGAAATTAAAACGACACCTACCTTTAAGATAATATCATAAAATTGTGTCTAGCTGTGTGCTGAGAGCAAGATTGTCTCATTATTATACTTCCCTAGAATGTCAGAAAAGATATCTCAATTACCAACTACTTAAAATGAAAGCAAGTATATGGGTTGGGTCTAAAACTAGGAAATAGGTTTTGGATGTTCATTTAAATTTGTTTGATATAAAGTATGTTAAGAAAAAAAGAAATATAAAGATGACCTCAAAGTCAGTGTTACTATGTTATCTACCAATTTAGTCATTGACCTGTTCAATTTTATCTGGAACTTTATTTGATTTTGTATGCTCACTTCGTTGTCTGCTGTTCATAGTTGTTACTTGTGTTCTACTGGAGATATGAAGTAAAAAGACTAATAGAGGGAATGGTGACAAATTCAAATGTAATATAAGATGTAGGCAGTTATTATCTTGTTTGACCTACATGTGAGTTAAAAAAGAATAAATTTAATATAGTATATGTAGATATTAAGGTATGAATTTATATTGTCAGAGTCAAATGAACTAAGTCATATATATGAACCAACCTTAAATATGTAGATAGGTTTCACGCATACACAGACCATCTAATTTTAATCTCCAAACATACTGCTTTCCAATACACGTACTTTACTTCCTAAATTAACTTAAATTATTAATGATAATAAAGGTATACTATAGGGTGCTCCCTTCAACTTGCTAAATGGAATGCTGCCCAATTCATGAATCAGATAATAAAGCCAATTAGATCTTCAAAAATAATAATGATGAAGTAAAAATAAATGTACACCCTAGAGAAAATAAATTTTGAATAAAGAAATTAAAGATGAACAAAATGGAGAATTACATGCTACAGGAAGTACTGCTCTGAAAAAAATGTTGGTTTTTCCCTTGAGTGAATTTGCTGCACGTTCCCTTAAAGGCATCCAAAGGCAAATAATACACTGCACTGCTGCCATCTACTGGTAATTGAGTTTCCCTGCCAGAGTGAATATTTGCAAAGAAGAAAATTCAGTTACCTGACCCTAATGAAACAGAATAACTGAAATGTAAGGTTCATAATGCAAAAGAATATTTTTTACAAGTTTTGAAATCTTAAATTGTCAATGGTAAATTTAAATTGTAATAACTTTTGATCCATGATTCTAATAAAGAGAAATTTGACATATGCACATAGGTTCAGAGTGTGTGTGTGTGTGTGTGTGTGTGTGTGTGTGTGTGTACAGCCAGTCAGCCCTTCAATAAAATAAGCCATGCTTGCCTCAGCATCTTTTTACTAGTAAATTTTTAAAGGTTCAAGACCTTCTGCCAAGTTGTCTTCGCTATGAAAATTCTTTTACCTAAATCATGTCTCTGTCACTCTCCAACTCTGATAAAATTTAATTTTGATGGTGACATTTGCATACTTGTTAATCAGTTTACTGGTGTAAATTACAACATTAACAACTGAAAATTTCCAGCTAAAACGAGAAATACTAGATTGCTGACTATTTGAGTATAAATGTCCTACATTTAAAAAAATGGAATTTTCTAGGATTTATCAGTAACATATTAGTAAAGAATATGCCAAGGTTTGTGTTAATTTTGAAAATTATAAGTCACATGGATTTTTTGCTATAATTCTACATTCCTCAATAAAATAATCAGTGGTCCATTGACTTGAAAATGGTCTTTGATTTTCCACTTTCTAATTAAGGAAGCAAATTCTCATTTCCTTGTAGATGGATTGATTAAATGTAGATGGATTGATTAAAATCAATAGATTAATCAATCAATCTATGGATAGATTTCATTCCCAATTTGGATCACAAAATATTTGCAGTCATTTATCAATCCCGCATGATATGTATTTTTAGGTCTAGTCAGTTTCTTAAGATTTCTTCATCCTGTTCATCTAATCTTTACCTTGACTGTGCTGTTTGCAATACTCATTTGTGTATCTTCATTTTCAACAATAATTAGGAGTTGCTTTTTCTCTTTTAGGGCTTAATAAAAATATTCTAATCATTTACCAAAAAAGAAAAGTAGACTTTTATGTGTGGATAACATAATATTTAAAACTTAGAACATGAATTTTTTTGCTCAATATACTGACATTTTTTCCTTATTTTTTTTTCTTTCTTTTCCTCATTCCTGTTGAACACTACTCCAGGCACAGGTAAGAATTTTTAAACCTCCTGATTCATGGTAGAGTGCTGCTTGTTTTCTTTTTCACTCCTGACTTCAGAGAATGGATTTCTTTTTCTGCTGTTGTCTTTTATCTTTTACAGGGAGAAAATAGCACATTTTCCATACAATTTTTGTTTTGCATCTGTTTCTCTCTCTCTCTCTCTCTCTCTCTGTCCTTCTAGCTTGCTACCTGTGTTTTCTCATTTTAATATCAGGGCCTGAGATACAGGAGTGGGGGGGACAAGTTTCACTTCACCAGCCTTGAAAAGGCAAGGACACCTATTGTGAACGATGTCATGCTTCTTGGAGGGAGGGGTAAAGGTGCAGGTAGGCTGAGGATGGGTGGCAGGAAGTTGCTCTGAACTGATTTGTATTCAGTCCAGTGTAGGAGATTAAAATGAAAACCATTGAAAGATTAGGAAAAATGGCATTTCTCTTTCAGTGTTTTCCTTCCCCACAAGTTGTAGGGTAATGTTTTACCTGGTAGTATTTAGTCCCATTTAAATACAGTACCCAATGTGAAGGTGATCATTTATAACAGTAATTGTGGATTCTTATGCCAACAGCGCGTATGATTTATTCTCACTTGGAATGGGTCTCCTTTACTCACTCACTGAAATTTGCACAAAAGAATAGCTCCAAGGGGCTATTTATATCTATATTTTCTGGATTTTTCTGGAATTAAGTAGTTACAAAAAAACAAACATATACGTGTGTGTGTGTGTGTGTGTGTGTGTGTGTGTGTGTGTTGTGAAATAGGAAATAGAGTTGAATGACCATAGATTTTGAAATCATTTTAAAAGACATTTTTCTTTAACAGTTGAGTCAGCTGTGTTGCAGTAGATTATGGTTTATTTATTTCCTTGATTTAGTCATTGTTCTCCTTGAGAAAAGAGCAAAATTGGTTCATTGTTCTAAAATCCTGAAACCAACACCCCACCCTAAATGTGGGGCTTTCAGCCTTCATGGACACCGGAGGACAGACAAGTTTGCTTTGTGTTATGTGGCTCTCCCTGCTTTGAGCTGTAGCTGTATAATACGAGACCAATTTCAGACCTTGCTTCCAAGCCCTGAATGATTGAGGGTTAGTTTTAAAGAGGCGTATTTCCTTATTTTTTACCGTTTAACTCAGTTTCACATATGGAATGCAAAAAAAAGAGTATAAATTCTTATTATTACATACATTTATTTGAAAAACAGGCCAAGTCATATTTTAAAAAAAAAACAACTAGTTTTATATGCTTATTTACTTTATTAATTCATCTATTCATTCATTCATCTATTCAACAAACCTCTGTGGAATGCCTAACATCTGAGCACTCTGGCCTAAGCATTGGAGACACACAGGCCTGTGAACAAGACAGATGGCCCATGAAATCACAGTGCTGTGTGGTGTGGGTCAGTATGGGACAGTGTGTAATGGGTCTCATGTGCTCCACCTGATCAGATCTGCACCTGTGATGTCAAACCGGATCAAGAGAACACAGCACCGCTAGCCCTGCCCATCACTACTCTAACTCTCAGATTTCCTATATTCCTAGTTTAGAATAATGAACAAGAAAGGAGAGGAGTGAAAAGAATGTAATGATTGTTGTGATGTGAAGTGTCCCCACATATCCTCATCAGGTTCCCTGAGGAGAAATCCCTGAGAATTCATTGTTCATTGTGTGTGTTTCAGGTGTATGAGGTCGTTCCTTGCCACAGTCAGTGCAACCAGTACGTATGGGTCACAGAGCCATGGAGCATCTGCAAAGTGACCTTTGTCAACATGCGAGATAACTGTGGAGAGGGTGTGCAAACCCGAAAAGTGAGGTAAGGCCAAGCCTGGTTACGTGGACAAGGAACGTGCAATCTCCTACCGATCTCACGTGTGCCACTCTCACTCCTCCCCAGTCTCCTGACTAAAACTGTCTTTAGTTTTATTTCTAGGGAATCTGAGTGCATGGAAAACTCTAAGGGGATCTGCTTCAAGCAACAGTTTGTCACACTGGGTCTTCTGACATCAGGAGCCTCACTTCAAGGTGCTCCTGTGAAAAGAAAGGTTCACATATTGAATACAAGCTGAACTCATGCAGATTTTCTCAACCCCAATACTTTTTTCTTGAAGGCCAAAAATACTTCTTACTGCTTTTTAACGATAATCTATTATAAATCCTTGCTCCTTTACATAAAACTGACTAAGTTTTGAATATTCTCTTCTCCTCCAGGAAGCCTTCTCTGGCCGCACTGCCCAGTAGGGTAGCCACTAGCCATATGTGGCTATTTAACTTTAAATTTTTTTCATGTTTATTTATTTTTGGGAGACAGAGTAAGGGAGGGACAGAGAGAGAGGGAGACACAGAATCTGAAGCAGGCTCCAGGCTCTGAGCCATCAGCACAGAGCCCCACACAGGGCTTGAGATCATGACCTGGGCTGAAGTCAGACGCTCAACTGACTGAACCACCCAGGTACCCCTATTTCACTTTAAATTTAAACTGATTAAGGGGCACCTGGGTGGATCAGTCAATTAAGCGACAGACTCTTGGTTTCGCCTCAGGTCATGATCTCACAGTTTGTGAGTTTGAGCCCCACATTGAGCTCTGCACTGACAGTACTGAGCCTGCTTGGGATTCCTCTCTCTCTCTATCCTTCCCGTTCCCTGTCTCCCTCTCTCTTTCTCAAAATAAATAAATAAACTTTAAAAAATACATTTAAACTAGTTACAATTAAATTAAGAATGCATTTCCTTAGCCACACTAGACACATTTCAAGTGCTCAATAGCCAGAGGTGGCTAACAGCTGTTCTGTCAGACTGCAGAGATATAGAGTATTTCCATCATCACAGAAAGTTCTATTGAGCGGTGTTGCCCTATAGTACCCCGTATACCCCTCTTTGTTTTGAAAGGATCCATTTACTGGTCTGTCATTTTTATTAAACTCCATCATTTTCTCCAAACTGAGATCCTGTCATATTCATACAAATTCCCTAATGCTTAATACAAGTTTTATACTCATTAAGCTGCCCCTACAGTATCTGCATATGCCTCTTAGGGGTTCTAGAACCCTACCAAACAAGTGTATTTGGTTTTATTATCTCCACTTTGTAGAGTAGACTCAGAATTACTAAGTGATTTACCTAAAACACACATCTAGAAAAGTGACAGAATTGGCATTCAATCCACAGTCTCTTGTCACTCTTTTTTTCTATACTGAATTTTTTTAATGTTTATTTTTAAGAGCGAGGGGCGCCTGGGTGGCGCAGTCGGTTGGGCGTCCGACTTTAGCCAGGTCACGATCTCGCGGTCCGTGAGTTCGAGCCCCGCGTCGGGCTCTGGGCTGATGGCTCAGAGCCTGGAGCCTGTTTCCGATTCTGTGTCTCCCTCTCTCTCTGCCCCTCCCCCATTCATGCTCTGTCTCTCTCTGTCCCAAAAATAAATAAACGTTGAAAAAAAAAAAAA